GCAAATTATTGCTTTGCAGAGGTTGATTGTGTGCCGATTCCTGTTCTACATCAGCCAGCACAAGCTGGTGAAGAGGAAAGTGACGCCGATCTGAAAAAAGAACTAGCAGGCTTGCAAAAGAAGGTCATTTTTGCACAATTTTTATGAGAGGCTAGAGGGAAGTTGAGCCTTGTATTGTTCGTTTAGTGTGAGAAATTCTTCGAGGAACTAAGCCAATGCCTTGTTTAGAATGCGCAGCTGGTGGAGGAAGTTGCAAAACTGACCGCCACAAACGATGATTTGCGATCGGAGCTGACTGCGACACAGCAAAAGTGGTCGAAAGATAAGGACAATCTGCTTCACAAGGCACGACAAGAGGAAAAGGTATCACGCACACTGGGATGTTTCGCTGTATTACATCAGACCTGAACATTGTCATTACAGATTCGCAACGTGGAACTTGACGCTTTGCAGCAGAAATTTGCAAGTCGCATGCGTATTATGGAGGATACAAATAAATCGCTGCATTCACAGGTGCTGCACAATGCCAGTCATTTCTCTCGTCTGCTCAAAATTATCGAAAGTTTGGATAGTAGGATATTAGCAATGGCATGCTTTGAAATGTTTGGGAGAGTTCTTTCTTCACTCATAGTTCTGCTTCTCTATTTATGCAGCTGACAAATTATCCACTTACTCGACCACATCCAGAAATGTAGTAATTGAACTCCAGCTTCCACGTGTTGTTCCTAAAAGCGGACCATAGTGATGTTCTACTGAACAACGCTGTTTGGACTCTGATGGCGTTTGATGGAAAAAAAATACCTTCCTTTAAAGCTCAGCTTTTTTATTTATAAATACCGAACGAAACGAGCAAGCTCCGTAGGTCGATTCCGGCACCAGTTTGGTCAAATTTACCGATTAAAAAAAAATTCAGCTGGTTCAAGCTCGGCGGGAGCGTGATTATCACCGCGAGGCGCTCTACACCTTTGAACGGAAAATGTCCGAAGAACAGCAGAACGATGAGAATGATGTGAAACGACAAAAGGAGCTGAAACAGAAATGCGCGGATATGGTATTTGTGTTTAACAAAGACGTTATTATGAAGCATATAAAATATATTGAGAAATACAAAAGCATATCAAAAAACAAACCGATGAAGAACATTTTGGTCTGTTAAGCCTTATACAATCCCATTCATCACCGCACGTTGTGGCATTGATAAGTGTAGATAATATAAGGTAAATGTATATAATTTTACATAAGGAGACTATCTTAAATATTAAAAAATAAGTTACTCTTACAAAAAACAAAAAAAGCAAAAGAATTCCGGCTTGCCTTCTTATGCGTGCTATTAATCAAGTAATGAAGAAGTCTGTTTTCACATTTTTGGTTGTGGCGCTAAATCTTAGTATAATCAGCTGCTGTTTTTTTTATCATCTTTTTCCTTCTTGTCACTGATGCAGCTAACTTCTAATTTTTTTGTACATTGTGGGCTCTCGGTCTGCAACACTGCTTCACTAGTGCACTAGAAATACGTACATTTTCAGACAAAACAAATCCAAAATCTTACGGAAGAAGTAGCAAAACTGAATACCGATTTAAAGCTGTCTAAAGAAGCCCACGAAGCAGATCGAGCACTGTGGGCTGTGGAAAAGTCACACATCAAGCCAAATAAATCAGCGACCCTTGGCAACAGTACTGTTGCTAATGCGCAGAACATTAAGGTTAAAGTTATGGCTTTCTGACAACTATTGTCTTCCGTCCGAAGCGGAAAGGCATGGCTGACTGATTCCTCTTCTGACTGAGTGGGTGCAAAAGGATTTTGAAAGCTGTAAGTGGAAGGTCGTTTCTGAAGGCTTTCGTGAATTTTTACGAAAATCTTAAGTTTTTTATAAGAAATATAGTTGTAAGGCAAAGAATCAGGCAAAACGATTAAAGAACGTTAAAATACAAAACACGATTGCACTGAATGAGCCACTGTATTGAATAAGCTATCACATATCAGCTTCAGTACTGGGAAAATTTCGTTTGACTCATTTGCTTTTAAATTCTTTTAAATTTGTGATTCGCGATAACGATACTCTGATTAAATTCAGTGAATTTTTCAAAGAAACATTTTGACTAAATATGAGAAATGGCGAGGTACCATGCGGCTCACCGGTATTTAATTCGTTTTGGAATAACTGCCTTCATACACATCACCCAAAGCCTGTTTTTGCTGAGATTGCAAGCAAAAGAATTTTGCCATAAAATATTTGTTTGGCTAGGGCTATATTCAGGTGAAACATGTCAACAGTAGATATCATCAAAAGAAGGGGGAAGGGGACATTACTCTGAGGGAAATTTCACTGAGAAAACCTGCTTTTATTGAGACGAGGCGTGCACAAAGCGCTGATTTTCAGCAAAAATGGATAATATAGTGCAATTCGTTTCGCGCAAACGCATTTGTATTTTACAGATCACTGAAAGCGCACTGAAGGCTGCGGAGACTGTGCAGAAGAAATAC